CGTATTGTGCGAGAATTAATGGCGAAACGCTGCTTCATTGCTCGCTGAAGGACATCCCAAAATAGTATGGCATCTTTCCTTGCAAGTGTTTCCTTGCAAGTGTTTAGCGATTTCCTTGCAAGTGTTTAGCGATTACCACGTTTCTCCGAAGAATGACGATAAATAGCATAGAGAATGCCGGCCTACTACGCAAAAGTTTATTAATGCCCTACAGCGGGTATCAAGCAAGTGTGCTTGCAGTAATTACCCATTGAATGTTTTGAAAAGGCTCTGAAAGGCCGCTCTATAGCTTTCGCTGTGACTGTGTTGCGCCTTTCGCGCCGGCAGGGCGGTTTTTTTTTTTCACGTGGATAAGTGCTTTGAGAAAGTTGTGCTGGCACCTTGAAATTATGGACGTAGAAACGTTTTAAAAATAAAATAATTAAAAATTCAGCAGATACCTTGCGCTGTAGGAATCTACATCAAGCGAGGCAGTCAGTGAGCGGCAGCCTATGCCGTTCTTTTTTTCTCTGTATTGAGCTCTACAAGATGCATCGACGTCGTTGAATAAGTTGGGCGAATCACCATGGGCTTGGTAACCTAATCGATGACAGTGACTTGTAAAAAGCAGCTGATTATTCGACATAAGATGGGCCCTCACGTTGAAGCAAAGGCAACCTTATCGCGGAAAAGAAAAAAAAAAGAAAAAATCGCTATGGTGCGATGATTGCATCATATAAATAGCGGTCGCCGGCGTATTTGAGCAATGTTCTACGCAACACGTGGAGTCAATTGTTGCTACATCTCGAGAAATACCGATGGCCAAACACTACAACCACAATCGGCCATCGGCATAGCGCGTTGTTTTCTATAATATCGCCTGAGTTTTTACGCCCCAAAACCACCATACAGTAGTTAGAGACGCCGTAGAGAAATGCTCCGAAAATTTCGACCTCCTGGGGTTGCTTACATGTCACAGTATACGGGCCTCTACCATTTTCGCCTCCATCGAATTGTCACCGCCACGGCCGGAATCGAATCGGCGACCTGCGAGTAAGCAGCCGAGCACACTAACCGCCGCCGAAACACGGTGAACGTGAGTGTTTTTTCCTAAACAGCAAGAAGCCCCTGCGTGACTCAGTGGTTGATTACGAGACTGTCGTGCAGAATGCCTGGGCTCGAGGCGTGATTTATTGCATTTGTTTTAATGGGAATTTTTCACCCAATGACAACGCCGCCGACTCTGGCCTATAGCCCATTCATGTGACTGCGTTCATATCAATTCCGTATTGAGGCGGAAATGTTGTAGGCCCATGTGCTCAGATTTTGGTGCACGTTAAAGAACCCCAGGTATTCAGAATTTACGGAGCCCTCCACTATACGGCGTCTCTCATAATCATATCGTGGTTTCGGAACGTTAAACCCCACCTATATCTATCTATATTGATTCCGGGTCGAGACAGTCTATCGGTCACGTGTGACGTACACCCGTACAACAGCACATCTCATGGTATGCAGGTATGGCCATACGTGACTGGTGTTAAGGGCTTCGTAACGTACGCGACAGTCAGGCAAGCTATTTCAACCACAACTGAACTTCTCCAAGTTTCGCGTGCTTTGCTACCGTAATCAAAATGAAACTTCGAATGCCAAAGGAACTCGTTACAGTTACATTTCAAAAATTCGAACGTTGCATTAACGTTGCATTTGGCTTTTTATATAAAAATGTATCCGCTTGTACGAGTCCATTTTTACATCACACCAGCCACGCATTCGTGCATCACGATGCTACTCGCATACCATTACAAGCGCCCTGTGGTGGTCCTCTTAAAATTCTCGAGTGGAATTTCAGGTGCTCCACTCTCATTGGTAAAGTACGCGAAGATCTCTCTATACACCTTTTGAACCCAGGTCACGTAAATGGTAAGGCCATCTCAACAACGTAAGCCATTGGACGACAACATGTTAATCTATAGAGGAAAGACTATGTAGATAGGGGTATGTTTTGCGTCCGCAGCAAAAGACGTAGAGACAGACAAGCTCGAACACAACGGCATTTACACCAGTTCAGTCATACGGTGAATGGATGTATCTTTACGGGCCTTCTCTTCCTACACTCTGAATGGCCACTTGCTGAGGGAAGTAGGCCTTTCCTAGACCTTGTTATCCTAGCAGAGAAATGATTTCATACCGTTCATGTCCTTTTCCGCATGATAGAATAGAAGATTTTCTTCCCATATTGGTTACTGAATGTGTTCTAAGATACCAAAAAAAACATTTAAACCTATTTTCAACTCGTTCCCGTTTTGCTATGTCAGCCATAAAACTATAGTGCCACCTAAATTACGAGCATGTTTACTCACCGTAGACTTTTTCTGTTTTCTTCATGCTTGTTGTATACAGGGTGTCTCACATAATTTGAGCCAAGAATTCGAAAATGAAAGGCACTTAGCAGGCGAATTGAACCAAACTCATACTACTTGCACTAACCTGTAGATACTCAGGCTATTTCTTATTTTTCTTTATACTGATTAATAATTATTACCTAATTACGTAATAATTATTTTCGGGTTGGAAACCCAACATATTAAGACTGAGATGTGGGCCCATCTGTAGAACACTTTCAGAAACATGAGATGGAGAGCACTTTCAGAAACAACCGACTAAAAATGTTTTCTATACCATACATCTCACTGTTATTTTTTCCTCGTTGTAAAGAAAGCCCGCGAAATGTGAAAAGGAGCCATGTGACAGACCACGAGCGCACTGTTATAGTGCTGCTATAGGCTCAAGCACAGTGTCCTTAAAGCTTTTGTCAATATGAAAAGCGTCTACAAAATGCGCAAAAAAATATACTTCAGATGCAAACGCAAACAAACTAGTCCCTCACAAAACTGCCAAAAGAACTGCAGCTGGCCTCCTCAGACCTAAATGGAAAAGTATGAATCATCTTGATTATAGGTGAACTGCTTGGCCAGTAGAGAAATTTACTAAAGACGATTCCTACGAACATATAGAAGTTCGTAATTCCAATCAATCCAGTGAAAAAATATCACTCTTTTAGCAGAAGCACAATGAAAGTTTATTAGAATGACCTCATACAACATCTCCTTCTTGGCAGAAGCGCAGTGGAAGTTTATTGGAATGACTTCATCCAACAGCTGATTACGTTTATTCACAAACAACTTGCCTATCAAGTTATCATTGGAGCATATTATATGAACTTGCACATCATTGCACACGGCATAATATATGAACTTGCGCAATGCATTCCGTGAAACTTTAAATCTCAGGTGTTATGAGGGCATGGTGTAAACGCTCGACTTGACTCTTCTCGTGATCAGTACACTCAGCCACTCACGCTAACTTTCGAGTAGATCTGCACGCTCACATTCGAAACATTTGTTTAGCTACCAACATGGCAGGTCACCACACCGGAAACTTGCAACAGTGCAGCAAGAATATTTCATTAGTCTAAGCTGTTAGTTGTGCTACTCAAGTGAATAAGTAACGACATAGCCACAAAGTTCAAAAAAAGGAACCTGCTCTCTGCGAACAAAGCAAATAATTAGCCCGTAGAACTGTTTTTCTAGTAATTAGAGTTTTAGTTGAAATGCGGTGTGTAAGTCGAGAGCTCCCAGTCTAAAACAGTGTATCGACAATCGAGGCGAAGTAACGTTGCCACTGTTTTTACATTGCGTGGAATATCGATGAACTTGGTGTAAAAAAAAACTGTCTAGCTCTTGAGGTTTGCCGTCACTCAAATTCAAATTTAAGCGTAAGGTTTCCACCTGTTATGGTGCCATCATTCACGAGCGTTTGCTTACTTGCCGAGAATTCGGCGTTGAATTGAGAAATGTGCCCGCCAGGGCATTCATTGCAATCATAGTCCTCACGTCTTTTAAAAGTACGAACCCTTGACTGTTTCTACTTTCTGCCTTTACAACAAGTTCAGCGAACGGGAAGCTCGAGTTTCCTGAAGTCTTAACGCACTTCACTTCCACGCAACAGCTGTTCGAAAAGTAACTAGAAAAGGTAATCTGCAGGTGCATATCTCTGTAGTACCGATTCACCACTGTGTTGAATACTCTGTTTGACCCACAGGCACGCTCACAACTTGACAGGTTTACGTTGAAACTCGAAGGTCGAAAATTGTTGCTCCATGTGGCGTGCAAAGGATTCATCGAAAAATCTATAATACTTGAAACCCATGGCTCCTTAGAGTGCCAATAGTTCTGCTGGCGAAGAAACTCCAGAGTTTCCAGTGATTCGTAGAGGCAATATTCCAGCCTGTACGCCCATGGGATGTCGTCTTTTTCCGAAGCTGCAGCGGCAAGATGCCCTTCACTTTTGGTAGATTTACGTTCACGCTTCGAAGAGTGAAGTATTCCATGAAAGAGCACTGCTCATCCGCCAGCATCGAAGAGGCATTTGCCCCAACTCTGCTGACACGTTCTTTCAACTCGCATCCGCAGCCCCTCATCACATGAACAAGTTCCTGCCACTGGACCTTCACCTCTTTCTTCACATCGGTGAGGCAGTCTCTTAGCATGCATCTAATGTCCTCTATTTGGTACACTTCGCGCTGCCTTGATAGTTCAGCGAATTTATTAATTTGGCTTTGAAGTGTTGACGGCTCATCACGGTATGGCTCTCTGCTCGATGACCTCAGTTCTTCCCGACCGGTATTCATTTGTCGAGTGACAATGTTATCGGTGTTTCCCTCAATACCTTTCATTCCACGTTGAACAGTACTGTTAAAGTCACAGGCTGTACTACCAACGTCAAGCGGACGTACTGAGACTTCGTTCATTTGTCTGTGAAGGGTGGTCAACTGGTTCAGAGTGACAGTCGTGTCGCAACTGGTAGATGAACCACCTTGTCCAGTCGGCTGTGCGCCGCTTGCACAGGAAGCATTTGGCGGGCAGCCGGCTGCACGGTGTGCTGCAATGTCCGTTCGCAGTATTCTGCGTTCACAGCGTGGACACTGTGAACGCAGCGTGGACACTGTGAGCGTGTAGGGCATGATAGGCGCATTCGCCGTCGAAGTGCAGCAGTACGTCTTCGATGGTGCCTACGAATTTGCAGCCATCAGCCTCATTCCAGCAGTGAGCCTGTAAAGTAAAAAACATAAGGTAAAGAACAAGCCGAACTTCATTGCTGACAAATTCGGGTAATATTGGAACATGAATCACTCCGTTTAGTTGAGAACATCGGTGTAATGCTCAGAAGTACGCACCATCTACGAATGTTGCATTCACCGTGATGCCAGCTATCTGAGGGCAAGTGTATCTGACGTAATCGGTGGCGATTGAAACACGAACTGCGGAGCGCACACTGCAAGTTTACCGAAGGTGTTAGTGTGTGCCCTCCAGTCATCAAGCTACCCTAACTTGATTACAAAAAAAAATCAACAAAAAGAAACGAAAATAAAACTGAAACAAACAAGAGGCACCTGGCATGCCCACGACGGCCCCTATCAGCACCTTATCAAAATAACGCAATCAGAAATATTACACTGTTGGGGCATCACACAGTGCTGCCAAACCGGACGGGCACACCTGTCAATGGTGATGGCTGAACAGAGCGCCTTGCATTTTTTTTTCTAATTAATGGGCCACGCACTCTTCTGTTTGTGTTTCATTTGACAGCAATAGTACACGACATGATCTTCGCATCATTTAACTCATCACCAGACAGAAGTTCTCGGTCATACACTTACGTTTTCCAATAGTAATTTCAGTCTACAGCAAGTCAATAAAGCGGCCAAGAGATCACCCAGACGTTGGTGGCTAGACATACATACACCGATGACCACTTCACTTAGCTTGAGTAACTTGCCTTCCTGTTAGCAGTAAGGAAAGGCCTGCGAACTATCGCTAATAAGCTATAATGCGCTCACATGTTGTGGCAGCTGGGCGCTTTAAAAAAAAATAGTTCCAGAACGCTTGAGCTTCGCCTTGATGAGTAGAACGCGATGTCGTAATCAGACCCTGCTTGCATCGACAGAGTAATAATTGGCAATAGCGTTCATATCGATGGGAAGGTCAAATTATATTTGTCCTGAAACTTCAAAGGAAATATGGTCGCAAAATTATTTCCACAAACACTAAAGTACGCCGCACGATTGAAGCGCGACTGTCTGAACAGGAGACAAATAACTACGACTGAAAACTAAACATAAGTTACATATATATATATGGGGGGGGGAAGGCAAAATAAACTAGAAATTCACTTTAAGTTTATTTAACACTTCGCTGAACAATCTAATGTCTCATTTTCTTGACAGAGCGTAATCAATGGGGGGGCCCTATATGCCAGCAGGCGGGTGTGTGGGCTTGAGTTTAGTTCTGAGCATGGTCGGATCAACGAGGCATCGCTCACTTCAGCGCGGTTGTTTCGTGTGCATATACTTTACATCACTTCTCTTGTGCGTTTTTTTTTTTACTCACGTGACCCTACGAAGAAGCCTAATTCATGCAGCTCCCAGAATGCGTAGATAACCGCTTCTGTGACTGCATACTGCTTTGGCTTGGGTAATGCCGGCGTGACCTCGCATTTCACGACTGTGAATTCGACACGCTAAAAGAAGAAACTGTATACTTTTACGTTGCTGAAGTGACACTTACTCATCCCCTTTTCCTAGATTTGGTGACGCGAGTTTTTAAACTATTGTGTTCCTGCAAGTGTTCTATTTGGTTAATAAAGCCAGCTTGCTTCCCCAATTTTTCTTCTTAATGTTTTTGTTATTTGGCACACGCAATCGGTAAGCCCGTAAAGGCGCAGTGCGATCAACTACTTGCAAAACAGGGCGAAGGTTAGCAGTTGCAAATTTCTTTTGTAAATTTGCTCCATGTAGTGAAAACGCCCAACGTCATTACCACTTACTAATTGACGCACCCTACTTTATTCCGTTTTATTTTTTACTTGCTCTTAGGTATCCCAGCGTCACATAGATGGCGACGGTGGCAGCGGGCCGCCAACTACTCCACACATGGGCTTCTATGGAAGTTTCGCACATAGTTTTCATATATCTTGCCGATACCGTAATCGGGCTCATCCGTCACTACTGATCATGCGTATACCGGCTTCGGCAATCTATGGCTCAACACACATCTCACCCTGATGGCCGAAAGAAACCACCTAATGATTATCGGGGCGATTTCCATGATCCCTGGCAAAAAGGTTCATCCTATCGCTGATTTGATTTGATTTGTGGGGTTTAACGTCCCAAAACCACCATATGATTATGAGAAACGCCGTAGTGGAGGGCTCCGGAAATTTCGACCACCTGGGGTTCTTTAACGTGCACCCAAATCTGAGCACACGGGTTCATCCTATCGCTGCTAAAGAAATTGGTTTTAAAATTCCAACTTGCTCGTTCACCGCATCGGCTGTTCTTTCCGCTATCAGTGAAATTCGCGCTGCCAGGAGCGTAGGAATCACAGCTTTCTTTCATCATGTGCATTCACCTCAACATGTTCCCTCGTTGCCTAGGAAGAGCCTGCTGATATGGAGTGTACTTGCCTTCAGATCTCGCCTCTTCCTGGCTGGAAGTTGTATCCTCTGACACTCTTCTGCCAAGAATCACTCCAGGTCCAGAGGACATAAGCTTCCTCCACACCCCGTTACACACTGGTCGCACATAGAGTGCGAACAGGGCAGCAGTACCGTGCTGCTCGGAATAACGTGGCACACGTGGCAAGCGTAAAGACTCAACGCGAACTCGTCCTCGAACCGCGTCGGACGCCAGTTCGCGCCGCTCATCGAGTCTCTCAGTTGGTACAGAGCTTGATGCCCCTCGCGGTACGACATGACAACGACGACTGCAGAATGGCGCGCTGCTTCGGAGCAACTCGCACAGGCGGGCCAAGAACGTGCACGGAGGATCGCGTGACTACCGATACGTCATTAGGGTGTGGTGGCGCTGCTTGCCAGAGTGTTGCGGGAATAATCGCTATCTGCGTATGGCATCATTCGCAGAGACGCGTGTTGCATATGCGAATCTGCTCCTCCTACCAAGTAACCTCATATTTCAAAACTTTTGTTCAGATTATTAGAGGGCGTTAACTTAATAGATAACCTGCGATAGATAACCTGCGATGATAACCGTAATAGATAACCTGGAGGACGACGACGTAGTGTCTATTTCATAGAACGCTTGTACCCTTGTCTCGAATTTTCTATTTGTTTTACCTCGAATTCTGGGAGCTTCCGCTCCCTCCTTGCGAGAATGGATGAAGAAGCCTCTCAGAATTTTCGAGGTGGACAACCGCTACGTCTGGCAGCGGCTAGGAAACGTGGGACCACTTCAAGTGGCACAAACAGCGACGCAACGGAGCTCTATTCCGATGGTTTCGAGTCATCGGATGACGAGCACACAGTCGTCATGAGCCGCAATGCAAAAAGAAGAATGCTACGAACATCGTCGACGGCGAGTATATCCACCGTGCAGGCTACCGCACAGCGTTGGTCACACACTATACTCTTCATGGCTGTGGACCCTTCAGCCAACCTACGGCGGCTTAACAGGCAAGTCCTCTCTGCATACCTCGAAGGACTCTCTCCAAATGAGATTAAAGACGTCAGGATCAACTCACGGAAGAATGTTCTGGCAGTTGATGTTTTACACCGTAGTGCGCTGCAAAGCCTACAGAACATCTCGGAAATCGACAGAGTCACAGTTAAATCAGTGATCCCCACTGACTGTAAGCGCAGTGTTGGCGTCATTTATGACGTGGACATTTCCATTCCCGCTGACGATTTTCCAATCTTGATAAAGCCAGTTACAGACGACATCCTCATGAAGCACATCGCAAGACTTGGTCAGTCACGATGCCTGAAGATTGTTTTTGAGGGGGACAGTCTTCCCCCACACGTCAAAGTTGGCCACGTTCGCCACCAGGTCCGTCCATACATACCGAAGTCCCTACAATGCTTAAGATGTTTCAAGATAGGACATGTCAAAGGAGTGTGTACCAGCAATGTCGTGTGCCAGTGGTGTGCCGAACCTCATTCAGAAGACACCTGTCACGCAAGTGTGTTCAAGTGCTCCAATTGCCATGGCGCTCATAAAGCGTCGTCTAAAGATTGCCCACGAGTGCGAAATGAGCGCGCGGTGCTGAAACGCATGGTGCGCAACAATTAAACGCACAGGGAAGCCGCTGCTACTGTCAGGCGACGTCGGCATCACCACAGAAGATCATCACGCAACGTGACATCTGCCGATAGAGACACGTCATCTCAAGCAAGAAGAACTGGCCCCCCATCGTCAAGCTCTGCGAAGACGGATACACCGAAAACAGAATCAGGGTCAAGACTCCCACCTCGTGAAGAGTGGCCATCACTTCCACGAACACAGCCTGTTTCAGAGGTGCATCGAATCCCGCCAACCTCGATGCCATCACGAATCGCTGATGAAAAGACAACCGAGGATCGCCAGGTCATCTACATGTTGCAGACCCTTATGAGCGCAGTGCGCATGCTCCTAGGCAACATGAACACCCCATCAGCGCAGAGCGCACTTCAAGTGCTGGACATTTTGAGTCCGGTGCTTGCCGCTCTAAGGTAAAACGAGGGCCCGCAACATGTTATCCTTTCGCGAGGAGGTCAAGAACGCATCTGTCTTTCAGTGGAATGCCAGAGGACTTAGGGCGCGTATGTCCGAGTTCCGGCAATATGTATTCACGAACCAGTTCTCCATTATTGTGATTTGTGAACCGAACCTGTCAGCTCAGATGAGACTGTCTGGATATGAGTGCTTTATGTCTTCTACCCACGGAGAGCGCAGCAAGGGCGTTGTGTTCATACGGCGCGATTTAACTTATCTTCATCACCCTGTACCACCTGATGAAGAAAACCAGTACGTTTGCCTAACAGTAAAAAACAAGAAGACCACATTCACCATCATCGGAGCCTACTTACATCCATCAAGTCATCTAGACCGTGAGCGCTTGCACGGAATTTCGAATTCAACTCTCCAGCCATGGGTGATAACTGGCGACTTCAATGCCCACCACTACTTATGGGGAAGCTCCAGGGTCAACACTAGAGGTAGACAGTTAGTGTCTTTCGCTTCTGAATGTGAACTTATCCTCGTGAATGACGGCAGCCCTACTTA